GCAGAACAATTGAATGGGGGGGGGGAGGAAGGTATGGAGGGCAACCATGGATGCCAGGGAAAAAAGGGGGGGGAAGGTGGGACATAGCAGAGGGTGGGGGATGGGGAATCAGGGATGGCAAGACAAAGGGCAAGGTATGCAGGATGTAAGAATTGGAAAATTATTTGCTGAGAACATATATGTGGATGTACTTGATTGAGACAATGCACAGTGTATTTTGGATGGAAAATTCATTTGTGTGTTGTGATGATGGTGTAAAGTGAATTAATAACTAAAAAAAAAAAAAAAGAAATGAAAAGGGCCAACCCTGTACCCTGGTGATTAAGAGAGATGAATCCCGCATGGTTGACTGTGTAGTTCAGTTTCTTGACTCAGTGGCTTGAAAGATGCTCTGGACTCATGTCCATGCCCACAATCCTGCCAGGATGGAAAAACAAAGGGATTGCAATGTGAATATGCCCCATTGGGACTGCTTTGTTCCTCTCCTTCTGGCTAGTTCATGTGCCCTTGACAAATTAAATTTTAAAAATAAAGGAGAAAACACTACAGAAGGAAGTCCCTAACTCCTACAGTAAACAGCAGGCTTACTGCACAGTTCCCTGAGCTGTTGGGAGACCACACCCAGGCCACTCTTATTGACACTCCTCTGACTCCCAGCAGCACCAGGGTCATAGGACACCGATACCCCATTGTGGGCCTCTTGGTATCATTAACAGGTCAGCAGAACCAAAAGTTTCCAGTGGTCCTTCTGAAATGTCAACTAGGTAAAGTTAGTGTAGGGAGGTCAAATACAATGTCTGCTCCAGACTTACCCTTCAGAACCAGCAAATGGCTTACTGGTTACATTGCTAGACTCCCACACGGTCAGTCATGCTATGAGTCCCAGACTCAGTAGCTTAAAACACATGCCGTGTGTGTTTGTGTGTGTGTGTGTGTGTGTGTGTGTGTGTTCATGCCCAAAATCCCGAGAGGAGAATGGAGAAGGGATTGCAGCATGGCCATCCCTACTGGGGAGTGATTTTTCACTTTCCCTCTTTTTCTCTGGCAAGTGTATGTGCCTTATGGTAAATAATAATAATTTCTTGCTATTGTGAGTCACCTGGACAGCTCTTTTAGATCATTTTATTTTGTTTTTCTGATTACAGCTACTACATTACTCCACGCTGCTCAAAATGGAGCACATATACCCTTAGTGTGAGGTTCAGGGAAGATGCAAAACATCAAAATATTTGGGATTTCTCACTTTTTCTCAGAGGAGAGCAGGAGATGGGAGAAGTGCTCCAGAAAGACAATCCAGTCTCTGAAGCATATCCTAGGTGGGGTGGAGGCCTTCCAGTCTCCAGACTGTCCCTTCAGCTTACCCTTCTCTTTGGACAGGATACTTTCAAAAGTCACAGCAGCCAGACTTGCTCCTGACTTTGGATCCTCTGCAGAAAGTCCAGCACCACCTGTTCACCTCCATCCTTCATTGATGAAAATGCCTAGGCCTGGTGTACTGGGCACACAGTCACATGGACTTCTCCTCTTGCTCCCACCCATAGCTGTTGGACTTCGCACCTGGCCAGCCTCCTACACCATGCTGTCAGCAGGTGGCTGGGTGACCCAAGGATTAGAATGGAAGGGGATGGTCCTCATCTTGGCTAAAAAGTATGCTACAAAGAGGGGGACTGGGCCTGGTGGAGGTTCTCTCCAGACTGGGGAGGCTGCAGCAGGCACAGAGGTTGCTCTGTAAACACTCTCCTGGACTCCTGCTCCAACTCTGCTAAGAAGGTTAAGAAGGGGCAGACAAGGAGCTAATACTCTTCCTCTCTGGGTGGGATGCTTTGGGGTAGGTGGAAGAAATCTCATTGCTGGTAGAGCCCCTCCTCCCGCCCCCGACATTTTGCTCTACTCTCTCCTGGCCCATCCATAACCAGGGACATCCCATGATGTCACGAAGTGTAGTTTTCTCCTGGATGTTTTCAGGAGATCTTACAGCCTGACTGTTTTGTCAGCTGGCATTTCATATTTTACCCAAAACATACTCCCATAGCTTCCAAATGCCCTCCTATGAAGAGAAGGGTCCCAGATCCTATTGTGTACAAAGTAACCCCCAGGTTCCACATGTCTCTAGAAGAGTGATTATACAACTAGTCCAGGTATATTTCTGGGTAGTATAATGGGGGGGGACATAGGGGTGTCCTACAGAGAGATGAGAATTTCTGGCCTACAAGAAACATGCTACTGACAGTTGCATGTAAAAATCAATGACTTTAACTGCAGCATCTTCACCCACTAGGATGTTATCTCGCTCGATATCTCTATGTGCCACTCCCTTGCTGTGGCAGTACCCTACCACAGTTGTGTTCTACTGGAACGTGTTCCCATCATCATCATCATCATCCACACAGCCATGCAGTGTGAGGTGGTCCAAGCGATCCCCCATGCTGCTCTGCTCCATGATGAGATAGAGCACTTCTAGCTTATTAACCACTTACTTCCAGGCCTTGGATGATATTTTGGTACTACAGTGCCATCATTATGTCAGCCTCTAAAGAGTGACTGGAGGAGCTGTGTGGACCTCCTTTCTGGATGACTTTAACAGCCATGGCAGATGTGTGAATTCTGGTTGGAATATACCAGGCTAGCTTGACTGGCGAAGCTACTCGTACTGGCAGTTTTGAGTTTTGAGGAGACTGTACTGATGACTACAAGTCTCCTCATTGACAGGTGACTTTGAAGCTCTGCTCCATGGTGACCAGGTCCTACCTATTCTAACTAGCAACACTATAAACTAGAAATGCTAGCTAGTACTACTGACTATACCAAGTTCAGTGCCAATAGTAATGAACAATACCAATAGCAGTAACTAATAAACAATATTAACTATACTAATAATACCACCTAAAGATACTAATTAAAATACTAACTCAAACAGAAAAAATATTAGCTATGTGAACTTACAAAAATACAAAATGGAAAGAACAGGATACATAAAAAATTGGAAATTGGAAAATAAAAAGGCTGGTGGATGGCCACATGTTTGTGGGAGGACTCAGATGTGTCAGCCATGAAAGCCTGAGGTACACTTGCATTTGGATTCACTTTTCTAATCTTCTGAGAGAAAGCTGTTGACACACTAGTTGGAATGATTCCATTAGCCTAACCCACAAAATGCTTCTGGTTCAAAGAATTTGCTTATATATACGTGGGCAAGATGGTTACTAGATGAGCCTAATGTGATTTCCTCCCACAAATAAAAGATGAAAAAAGAGGAAAAGCAGCTGATATTCATCTGTGGTGTTTAAGGGAGAGTGTCAGAGTGCAGTATGGATGTGGCAGAGATGTTTCAGAGCATGACACCTCAGGATGGCCTTGTAGACAGGGAGCACAGTGCTCTGCATTTTCTGCTCCATCTCCCCAGGTAAGATTGTCTAGGAGCAGGGACTTTTGGTGATGGAGAGAAGGTAAGCAAGATAAGAGCCATTGTACAACTAGCTCCATTATGTCTGGGGAAGGTTAATGGAGGGTATAGGGATGTCCACAAACAAGTGAGAGCTTCTGGCCTGCAAACCAGAATAAATTATTTTCACTGTACTACTCTGCACACACAAGGATGTTGTTCGATATCTCTATGTGCTACCTCCTTCTGTGGCAATACCCTACCACAGATAAGATCTGTTGGAACATGTCACCAGCATCATCGTCCTCCACACAGCTATGCTTTGTGAGGTGGCTCAGGCAATCTCCCATGCAGCCCCCATTCACATTGTGAAGTCCTGAGGTGCCAGAGGCCTGCTCCAGCCAGGCTGGGTTGAAGCTTGTACACAGGAAGGTGACATGGGCAGAAATTCAGGCTGAAACCTCAATGCTCTTTAGCAATGTTCTCAGTCGACTACAGTCAGAGCCAGCTCAAGACTGCAGCCCTGATGCCTAGGAGACATATGTATTTATTATTGAAGGAGTTTCACAGGAGTAGGATGGGTGAGGGGAAGTAAGTAAAAGATTTACTCTAAGAAACAGGGTATACAAAGTATGGAAACAATAATCATAAAACATGATGCACTGTTCTGTTTGATCAGGTGAAGCCAAACACAGTCCTTAGAACGAAGGAGTCCATTTGTCTGGTGCATTTTCTTCTTAGATCTTGATTACTGGGAAGGGTCTTTTGAACAGGGGGCTTGCAGGAAGTTTGATAACTTCAGTCCCAGGTCAGCTTGATAACTTCAGTCCTGGGCCAGGGTGGCAGTATTGCTGGTTACAAAGACCTAGATAGAAATCTTGTCTTGTTAAGTAAAGACACGGTTAATATATACTAAAGTGAAATATCTATATTGCTTTTAGGGTAATTTACAGCTAAGGGGGTGAGCCTATTGCCTACATGGGAAAGGAATGTGGTCTTGCGAGCAGCTTAATGACTGACCTCTAAAAATTACTGTGTACTTGGGACCCTCTACATACTGTTCTGTACAATGACTGTGGCTTGGGGAACGGAAATCTTCCCTTGTCCTGAGATCAAAGGTGGCTCATGGTCTTTGTTTGGGGTATCAGTGCCTCGCGGATGAGTCCCTAGGCCTCCTCTAGCTACTGAGGTCGTTTCACCAATTTAGTAGCTTTCCATTAACTCAAACTTATCTAATGTTATCTATGTAATCCCCAGTAGGAGAGGTGAATGCAGCATTTTTTATTGACATTTTCCAGGCAGGTGGAGTGAGTCAAACATCCTGATCCTCGCTGCATCTTAGGAAACTGCATTCCTTCAGGATCACTAATTGGCTTTATTGTAAAGTTGCGGTAAGGCTAGGGGTGTTATTTTACCCTTATGGGGTACTGTCAGTAAAGCTCATGGCAGAGAAATTGAGTGCAGGCCAGTACAGCAACACAGTGGAGAATTGGAACTTGTAAACTGCTGACCTTGCTAACAGTTCTCCTCAGCCCAGTCCTTGCTTTTAGGCATGAGGGGCAGCTCCTTTAAATTCAGCCGATGTTGGCTGCATGGTCCTGACACTGAGGTCTTTACTACAGAGGAGTCCTATATGCCTCACATGCAGATAGGTAGCATCCACACCTCTGAATTGCCGCAGAGGAGTTCAGACTGTGTCGTAACATCCCCCACACAGGTTGTGACTGAAAAAAGCCATCATGTTACATATCTACCCACTCTGGAAGAGCAGCTGGGTAAATGACCTCTACTACAATGACTGTCACCAGAAGCTGCTGGAGCAGCCTTACCTCTCTCCAAGCCCTTAAATCCCATGTGAGGAGCCAGGTGAACGTTCCCATCCATATCCATAGACTGCACTCAGTAGCCCCACCCCCTGTATCCCATGAAAGTAGCTGAGTGATCTTGCCCGCATTTGAGTCAGAGAATCTGATCCCCTGTATCTTGAGAAAGCAAGTATGAGAGTAATCCCAGTCATAGCTGAGCCCCTAGAAAGTTCCCATCACCAGCCCCCATATTACATGGAAGAAGCAAACTTAGGCCACTGAGACATTTCCAGGCATTGTGATGCTGATTATAGCTAAAGAAATTATAGAGACTACATTGCTGTGTCTAACTGGAGCCAAAGCCAACATACCACACACAATTGACATCCTAGGACATACCTCCTGGGGAAAATCACCACAAAAGCCATTCTGGAAAACTGATATAGGCAGTTTTTCTATCAGATGTGAAAAATGTCAACAAAGAGACAGAAGACATGTGGAAATGCAGAGTAACATGACAGTGCCAAAGGAATTCAGTAATGCACCAGCAACAGACACCAGACAAAAATGTGTGAAATTTATTTTTTTGGAGAGGTTTTTGCTATAGGGCACATGTGTTTGCCAGACAGAGACAGAGAGACAGAAAGTGAGAAATCACCCCCTGGGGGGGATGGGCACACCGCACACCCTTCTCCTCTATTCTCCTCTCAGGATCTTGGGCACACACACACACATGCACCTGGCGTGAGTTTTAAGCCACCGGGTCTGGGACGTGAACTGTTGTTGACTACTTGGGAGGCCAGTGACATAGCCATTATACTAACTGCTGGTCCCAAAATGTGTGAAATTTCTAAAAAGGAATTCAACATAATGATCCTGAGGAAATTCAGTGAGATGAAAGTACAGATAGGCAATTCAATGAAATCTAGAAATCATTATATGACCTGAATAGGACATTGCAGAATGATAAATTTTGAAAGAGCCAAGCACAAATCTTGGAACAAGAAAGATTCAAATAAAAGAGATACAATCAAGAGTGTTAACCACAATTGTTAATGTGTCATTGGGTATGGTTTAGTAGTACCTCATTAAAATGTCAATGTTATCAATATTTTCAGATTTGTTCCTGTCGTTTTGTCAGACATCATTTTGATCATTTTTTATTCTCTTATTTCTGTCAGTCTCTCTTTAGTTTTCCTGATATAGTACTCCCTTCAGTACTTCTTGAAGAGCTGGTCTAGTACTGGTGAAATTTTTTCAGCTTTTGTTTGTCTGCAAATGATTTTATTCATTCTTCCCATTTAAAGGGTAATCTCGCCAGGTATAGTATTCTCAGTTGAAACTCTTTTTTCTTTCAGTATTTTGAATATGTCTTCCATTCTTTCCTGCATTGTTTTTGTTGAGAGGTCTAATGTTAGCCTAATAGGGTAAACTTTGTAAGTGCCTTGATATTTTTCTCTTGCCATTTTTAGAATATTGTCTCTGTCCAAGATTTTTAGCATTCTGGTTATGATGTACCATGGAGAGTATCTTCTTATGTTTTTTTCTATTTGGAGTTCTTAGTGTTTATTGGGTCTGTATGACTAAATGCTTCTCTAATTTTGGGAAGTTTTCTGCAAGAATTTCATGGAAAAGATTTTCTATGTGCCAGAACATCAAGTCATGTTGGGCTCCAATCTGCTGGAAGCCCTGCTCCAGCTGGGGTGGGTCAAAACTGGTACACAGGAAGGCGATATGGGTGAACAAAATCAGGCTGAAACCTCAGTGCCTCTTAGCATGTTCTCAGCCGGCTACAGCCAGAGTAAGCTCAGGACTGCAGGCCTGATGGCCAGAAGACATGCGTATTTATTATTGAAGGAGTTTTACAGGAGTAGAATGGATGAGGGGAAGTAAATGAAAGATTTTACTCCAAAAGGTAAAGCATTCAAAGTATAGGAACAATAATCATAAAACATGACATCTGTTTTGTTTAGGTATAAACAGTCATAATTCTTAGAACGAGGAAGTCCATTTGTCTGGTGCATTCTCTCCTTAGATCTTAATTACCAGGAAGGGTCTTTTGGATGAGAGGGCTCCCAAGAATCTTAATAACCTCAGTCCCAGGCCAGCTTGATGACTTTAGTCCCAGATTGGCTTGAGAACTTGAGCCCCAGGTCAGCTTGAGAACTTCAGCCTCAGGCTAGGGTGGCAGCAGATTGCTGGTTACAAGTGCCTAGAAATAAACTCTGTCTGGTTAAGTAAAGACAAGGTTAATATATACTAAAGTGGAATACCTATATTATCTCTGGGATAATCCATAGCTAAGAGGGTGAGTCTAATGTCTACATGGGAAAGGAATGTGGTCTTGTGAGCAGCTTAATGACTGACCTAAAGGTTACTGTGTACTTGGGACCCTCTACGTGCTGCTCTATACAATGGCTGTGGCTTGGGGAATGGCAATCTTCCCTTGTCCTGAGATTAAAGGTGGCTCATCATCTTTGTTTGGGGTATCAGCACCTCATGATGAGTCTCTGAGCCCCTCCCAGCTACTGAGATCGTTTCACCAGTTTAGTAGCTTTAACCTAAACCTTCCTAATGCTTATCTATGTAATCCCCAGTAGGAGAAGTGAATGCAGCATTCTTTATTGACATTTTCCAGGAGGGTGGGGTGAATCTAATGGGAGTAATTCCTGTTCACAGCCGCCACCTTAGTGGATCTGCATTCCTTCAGGATTATTGTAAAAGTTACAGTAAGGTTGGGGGTGCCTTTATGGGGTACCAGGTTATGGCAATAAGGCCCATGGCAGAGAAATTGAGTGCAGGCAGTACAACAACACAATGGAGGTCCAGAACTTGTAACTGTCGACCTTGCTAACAGTTCTCCTCAGCCGAGTCCTTGCTTCAGGCATGAGGGGTGGTTCTTTCATACTCAGCTTGTGTTAACTGCATGGTCCCAACATCTTTGCTCCGGTCAAAGTTATTCACTTTTTGGAATGCCTATTATTCAGATATTTGGGCATTCAATAATGTCTAGTATTTGCCATAGGTTGTCTTTATTTTTCAATTTTTTTTCATTATTTTTGGTGGTTTAATATAAATCTAAGATTTTTGTCTTCCAGTGCAGAGATACTCTCTTTTGTGTGGTTCAATAGGCTCTTAATACTTTTAAGGGAGGTGCTGATTTCTTGTACTACTGTCTTCATCTCTAGAAGTTCTAATTGGTTCTTTTGTATGATATCTATGTCCTCCTCCA